AAGATATCCTTACTTTAGACACCATTTACACTTATTTCAAATGTTAAATGTAAGACGATGTTTAAATTAAACTATTAATCTAGAAATATCATTTCTGGTTCTATAATGCTTCTGAAAGGATTAATTCTTCCTTTGTCACATCTCTTAGTCTACCAAGGATCAGAGATTGGTTTATTCTGGCAGGTTGCTTCCTGATCACCTGCAACTGAAAGATATTCTCAGAAAAGTAAGTTTTACTCAAATTACTGTATTTTAAACAAATATTTTAGTTAAATCGTGAATTCTAAAAACTGTTAAACTATGTAGTAATTGTCACTATTGTAAAATGGAGCAATTCTAATGTTGTATGATGAACTACAGAATATACTGACTTTGTTTACAACATGAATTGATTATCTGTTTTAGAAAATTATTACTGTGATAATTACTGTATATTTCTAAGTGTACACATACATGGGGTTAGCTATTTTATATATTATAAATACGAGTGTTGTCGTATTTCCTAACTATTTTATTGCATTGATTAGATTTAATGCTGCTTTAATTCTGAACAATTACAGCCTTTTCTAATAATCTCTCTCTGTAATTATTTATTGATAAAGAGGAGATTAAAATTGCTCACTGTTGTCAACAGCAGTATAAATTTTGGAGGAATAGCAGTGATTCATGTTGGTTCACTGTGACTGATGGAAAAAGAGAAAACCTGTTGACTGCCTGCTCTCCAGAGTTAGGTGGAGGTTGCTATAGGTGGAGCCAAGGGGATTAGTGTTCTACTTATCTTCTTTATTACAGAGATACTGGAACAATCCATATGGGAAATAATATTTCTCATCTTACTGAGAATCACATATGCAGTTTGGTAAAACAGCACAAGGTCATTTCCTGATAATGCAGTGAAGAGCAAATATCTAAACATTTTTATTTTAAAAATTGATCAGAAGAAAGTCATAAACAAATTCCAGACATTTATTTAAAATATAGTTTAGGTACATACCGGTAGATAGGCAGATAGGGAGGTAGGTGGGTAGGTCGGTAGGTAAATAAAGTGTTTGGATTTTGCTTAAGTCTTTTTTGCTAGAACTAGGAAGTTATAAAGCAATACTGTTCTCAAATAAAGTAACATAGAAAGGACAAAGCATAAATTCATTATGGTGGGAAAGAAGTATTTGTAAATCAGTGTATCTTTTACTGAATCTACATTTCTGTACTCCCTATGATAGAAGACTATTGTAGATAAATGGCAATTTATAATTTCTTATAAATTATTCTGAATATTTATTTGAAACTGGATAAAGCAGTAGGAAGATTGAGTATAAATTTAGGAACTGGGATGATCCTGATATTAACATCAATTATTTTTCACATGTTTTTCTGACCCAGAGACTAAAGAACCTCTAAGCTTCATTGTATAGGCAAGTAAGCTGAGATGTTCTTTGGTATAAAAGTGAAAGTGGAGTTATAGTCATAAACAGATTGCTAAATCTATTTTTCTTGAACACTCAGGAAAATAAATTGGGAATTATGATTTACATAAATAAATATACACAGAGAATCTTTCCTTATTTTATCATTTCCTTTTTTCCTTCCTTCTCTTGCTTTTGCTCACTTGTTCTGTGTTTTCTATTTCTGATAAGGAAGAGAGCTAGCCAGCCAAAAGAATACTGTGTGTACTGGCCTATTTATTGCTTTATTGTGTGTGCTGCTACTCTTTGAAAACAAAGACTGGTTGGTTAAGACAGATACTGTAGCTGGAATGGTCATTATAAACCTGTTTACATTTGGTACTCATTGGCTGAATTTACTAGGTCAGGTTAAGACCTAGAAATTGTATTTGCATAATTTACAAGCTTGTGTTTATTTTTTGAATAATAGTTTAATTTGTTCTGAGAATCCAACACATTTTCTTATAATCTATACAAATGGAGAAAATGGGTTAATTCAGTAATCTGTTCAGTGTGTTGTGCAAACATACCTACTGTACTAATTATATGAACACTTACACTATGATTGGTATTACCTGTCAACATAGATTTAATGTGAAAATAGCATTATAAAATACTCTCTTTTATTTTAGCAAGATGAGTATCATATGGTTCATTTAGTATGTTCTTCACGGACACCCCCAAATTCCCCAAAACCTGATACTATTAGAGAAAGTCATGAGTCTTCAGCATCTAGCAACAGCTTGGTAAGTTATCTTTGTGTGAGAGAGGTAATCATTTAAGTTCTATCAATAAATAAATGCTATTTTAATATATTCATTCCCACTTATAATAGTGATAGTACTGTTGTCAGGAAGGCATTGTATCAACTATTTTGGCCAGTTTAGAGTATTAGTTTACTGATGAATTAAATGAGGTATAATAAAAGGTTTTTAGACTGTTTCTTTTAGAACTATGCTTTCTAAAAATAAAAAATGTACAAGTACTATTCCCCATCCTTCCAAGAATATACACAATTTTTGGAGATGTTTAATAGAGGATAGCAAATCCCTTACGAAGTATTTACAAATGTCTTGGCCAAATCTAGATGGCTCTGTATAGGCTGACATTCATATGGCAATTATATTGTGAGTTCTGGATTCATGATGTTTTCCGATTCATAATCTGCTTATCTTTTATTCTTGATGGAAATATAGTGGTAGAAAAGAAAAAAACCCATAATGTGTACTATTTTAGCCAGAAAAATATTGTTATTTTTAAAAAAAATATGTGATATGCATAAAGATGTTCTGGGGCAAGGTATAAAAGTGGTATAAGGTATAAAAATTGGATTACTAATAGGAAGAAGCTAATGTCCAGTATAGAATATTAAACTAGTTTTCATAGTATTTTGAACAACCAGCACTGAATGCTTTGCACATCTAATTCAAACTGTTATCTGCATTTTAAGAGTTCAGAACATTTGGGATCAACATCTCCTTCCCCATCTCAAGAAACTGTATATACAGCTGTCAGTAATTCTGAAGGTGTGCGACATCGCAACCTTGCACAGACACAAAATAATCAAATGCAAAGCCATCCATTCTCATATATATTGCAGGGGTAAGTACCATATAAATGATTTGTTCAGAGTTTTGCAGCAATTTCGTGCTGGAAAAATAAATAAACACAGATGGCTAATGGTTCATTTAACATCTTTATAAACATAATAAGTAAATTTTACAAACCAGTTGTAGATTTCTCCAACATGGAGCAAACTCTGGCAGAAATAAACATGTTGCAAGCAACTTCAACAGAAGCAGCAAACAGAGAGAACTTCCAGTTTCACTTTCCAGGTCAGCTCCCATTGGTTTGTCTGTTACCATGCCTACTCACTGACTCTGTTATCTATGTATCTGCCAGTAAATGAATACTCTGACATTCCTCCCTTCATAACTGGAAGAGACATAAATCCAATTAACTTTATATTCTTTCCATGGTGCACTCCACCCAATGGTTTGGTCATTATGTCAGGCAAATTGTCTTCTGAAAAACAATGAAGCAAGCTAATCAATTTTCACTTGATGGCTTCTCTTACATTACAATATTTAATATCCACATGCTTGCTTCTACTCTTTACTCTGTCACCTGTAGCCATTTTAATGCGTTGTCTTCATAGACTAAGACAGGCTCCATTACCTTTATATTTAAATCCTGTAACAATTGTACCAAGTTATCTCTGAACAGAGTTCAAAGCAATAAATTCTGCTTCTGCAGAAGAAATGGCTACAGTTGTTTGCTTTCTGGACTTCCAATCAATTAAAACCCCTCCAAACAAATATCACAATCCCAGAATTGGTCTTTCTGGTTTTTATATCATTTGCATAATCACTATCAACATAGCATTTCAATTTTAATTCTTCAGAGACCTATATTTGAAGACCTCAATTCCCAGTTCCCTTCAAATACCTGAGAATCCTTTTTACACCAATGCAATGCAATTGTGTTGGTGCAGCAGTAAAGCGACTCAAAATGCTTACTGCACAAGCTATGTCTGGTCTGGACCACTGTGGCAGATAGAATAGGCTCCCTATTGCTGATTGATATATCTCCTGATCACAGGCTTCACTTTCGTCCTCACCCAAATTGTTATGAAAATCTATACTCATGGCGTTTTATGTGTCTCTACACCGAGATAATTTTTATTTCTCCTAAATTCTTTAATTCAAATTTCTTCTTCAAATTATTTGCAAATTCATTTACTTGTGATTCATCCTTTGCAATGAAGCAAAGACCATCCACAATTGCTAGAAGTTGACAATCCCCACCTTTTAACTTTCCAGTGTATATTCAGCTATCAGCTTTGTAACTCTTGAACCCAAGACCTTTCAATGTCTAAACAGATATTCCAATTCCTGGCTGATTGCTTCAGCCCATAAATGGCCTTGTTCAATTTATATACTGGGTTGGGCTTTTTATTTTCATACCCTGGTACTTGAACCATGTAAATTTCTTTCTCTAATTCTGCATTGAGAAATGCAGTGGTTATGCCAAAATGCCAAATTTTATGGTCACATGCCGCTGCCAATGCTAGTACCAGCCTGATGTTTTCACTCTTTACAGTTGGTCACCTCATCATAGTGCACATTTTTCATCTGTGAAAACCCCTTTTCTATCTTGTTTTATATTATACCTCCTTATTGGGTAGTACTTTTTTCTTGTATACCCACTTGCATTCTACAGCTTTGCTACAGCTTTTACACTGTGGCAAAGTCATAGATGTGAATACTTCATGTTCTCTTATGAATTTCATTTCCTTGTCCATGGCTTCTTTCCACTTTACTTGTTCAATTTTAAATAATGCCAATACTTCTTTGTAGTTCCTTGGCTCAAACCATACATTACACACTTTAACTTTACTAGCAGGTGGAATCCCCTTGTTCTATTGCTCTGACCTGCGTGGCACTGACTGCTTCTGTGTGTCAACCCACTCTTGCTTCATATCTTGTTCAGCTTCTCCTCCCTGAATGCTGACACCGTCACTAATTGAGTTACCATCACTAAGTGAGTTACCATCACTAAGTGGATCACTGTCACTAAGTGGCTCATTCTACAAATTTACATCAATTCTGTTCCAATTTTGCTCTGCAAAGCTTGCAGACCTTGAAAATACGATTCTTTTGCTCCCATCGCTAAAGCGGTAACTTTTTGAGCCTGGCTCATAGCCTACAAACCTGAGCTTTCTAGCCTTTGGTTGTCCCTTTCTTCTAATTGCTTTTGGAATATGCACCCATGCATTGCTTCCACACACTCTTAAATGTGCTAGAGGTGGTTTTCTCCCATATAGGACTGCATATGGAGTATCATTAATGGAGGAACTCCACAACCTATTAACTAAATAATTAGCAGTCAATATATGGCTTCACCCCAATATGACCTGCTTAGACCAGAATCCTGTAGCAGTGAGTCCTTCATGGTTTGTAAGACTCCATTCCATCTCTCAGCAACACCATTCTCAGCTGCTGTGTAAGGATTTGTGTGTCTGTGTTTTATTCCTAACTGTGCCAACCACTGTTGAAAACTTGTTGACATGAATTCTGAACCTCTGTCAGTTTGCAACTGACATAACTGTTGTTTATACCTTCTTTCTACAAAGCTTACCTATTGCTTAAATTTCTGTAGCACTTCTGTTTTACTCTTTAGTGAACAGCAGAACTCAAACCTGCTATAATCATCTACAATGACCAGCACATAGTTAGCTCCTCCCAAATTGGCTTGCATTGGGCCCACCAAATCTGTATGTACCAGTTCTAGAGTTCTTGTTGTCTGCCTTGTGCTACTCTTGCTTACTGGCAATGCCTTGGACTTTGATGTTTTGCATACTGCACAATCCAAATATGCCTTACATCCCTTTACATGTAATCCTTCTGCATACTGGTCCATCTTTTGAACAACTTTAAAGCTGGCACGACCAAGCTTTCTCTGCAAAAGATGAACACATGAATCATATTTTGCAACATTGCCAAATGTTTGTGCACATTGAACTTTTGTCCCTGTAACATTATCAAGGTTATCATGCTTTATGCCCTTTTCACAGACAATTCCATTTTTCTTTATAAAACACTGCCCATTTACAAATGTGGTCTCAAATCCTTCCTTGTCTAAACTAGAGACACTCAGCAAATTATGTTCCATTTCTGGCATACATAAAACATCATTAAACCTTGTTTCCAAGTATGGAATTTGCATACTGCCTCTTCCAATGACTTTGGCCTTCTTGCCATTTGCCAAGGCTACTGTGTCTCCTGCATCTGCATCTATCCTGTAAAACAATTTAGCATTATTAATAATTGTTTGGCTAGTCCCAATGTCTATTAGCCATTCATTGATCTCTCCTGCAAGAATTGACTTTTGCTATTGCAATTTACCCATCAACTTGTCCTTGCAGCAAACAGTACGTCTTTAAATGGGTCTTTAAATGAGATCATCTACTACTCTTCTGGTCTCTGGAGACAGCCTGGCTGTGGAAATTTCCATTGCTCCTCTTGGGCCCCCTCCTCAGGAATTTTTCCTCCTGTGTTTTTTCTATAATGGCATTTCTGCTCTTCAGCTATCAGACACGCTTTCAGAGCTTCCAGACTCAATTCCTGTTCTGGTTTTCATTCAAACACTGCAGAAACAATGTCCCATATTTCATCTAGGCTGTTCAAAACCAGTAGTACTTTCTGAGTTTCCGGAATCCTCATCCCACATTGTTCTAACACCACAAACAAAGTTTGCATATGAACAAAATGCTGTTCCACTGAATCTCCTGGCTGCAAATGAGCTCTATATGACTTTCTTGATAATTGTACTATGTCGCATGCAGATACACTCACATGAACAGTCCTCAATTTATCCCAGACTTTCTTTGCAGTCTTTAAATCAGCTACATTGATAAACTGATCATCTTCTAAACTTAAGATGATATAAGCAAGTGCTCTATCGTGCAGTTTCTGATCTGCAGCATTCAATGGTGCCTGGGGTGGATTTTCAACAATATTCCAAAGCTCTTTAGCCTTCAGGAAACATTCCATCTTTGTAGCCCAAATAATATAGTTCTTCTGACCAAAACAGGATAGAGAGCTCTCTTTAATTTTTTTAGCCATCCTGCAAAGCCTTGTTTCTTACTTTTAACACAGACAGTCTCTCAGCTTTAATTACAATTCAGTCTTTTTCTGTCCTTCTGGGCACATAGCCTATTCAGAGCTTTGCAGTAATTTAGCACCAGGAAAATAAACACAAATGGCTGATGCTTCATTTAACATCTTTATAAACATAATAAGTAAATTTAACAAACCAGTTGTAGATTTCTCCAACATGGAGCAAACTCAGACAGAAATAAACATGTTGCAAGCAACTTCAACAGCAAAACAGAGAACTTCCAGTTTCACTTTCCAGGTCAGCTCCCATTGGCTGGTCTGTTACCATGCCTACTCACTGACTCTGTTAACTATGTATCTGCCAGTAAGTGTATACTCTGACACTCCTCCCTTCATAACAGAAACAGACATACTCTGACCTGATTTGAATCTTAGAGTTTTACTCAACATTTTATAGTGTAAGCAATATAATTCACAGAATACTGAAAATGTGTTAAAAATAGTAAAAAATAAAAAATAAAAGGATGAGAAAAAAAATCCTTGACTAAAATGTGTTAATGTACAATAACAGTATTCACTGTATCTCTTGTCTGTCTTTCTATCCTTGCAAACTATTCTTCCTTAATGTCTACATCAAACAGTCTTTTGTACCAATAGAACAGAGTATTTGTAGCTCAAGGTTAGATTTGGAGTCCATAGTGCTCTTTGAGCTTGATAGTTGTCTTGCAGACATTTTTCAGACTTCTCCCCTCCCTTACTTTAATCACAACTTGTTTTCCTTTTACTATGTACATTTTTTTTCATATTATTTGTTTTGCTACTTGATCCTCCTTCTTTCTATCTATAAGATCAATTTATCTCAAGCACAGATAATTTTCAATCTGCACTCCTTCAAAATCAATTAGTTCTATATATTATATCTCTTGTCAATCATGCCCACTTCTATTTCCACTCCATGAAAATACTGTTTCTCCTGACATACCCAACTTTCATTTCTATGTAACGATGTGAGTAGAACATGGTTCTATATACACTGCTCAAAAAAATAAAGGGAACACTTAAACAACACAATGTAACTCCAAGTCAATCACACTTTTGTGAAATCAAACTGTCCACTTAGGTAGCAACACTGATTGACAATCAATTTCACATTCTGTTGTGCAAATGGAATAGATAACAGGGGGAAAGCATAGGCAGTTAGCAAGACATCCCCAATAAAGGAGTGGTTCTACAGGTGGTGACCACAGACCACTTCTCAGTTCCTATGCTTTCTGACTGATGGTTTGGTCACTTTTGAATGCTGGCGGTGCTTTCACTCTAGTGGTAGCATGAGACGGAGTCTACAACCCACACAAGAGGGTCAGGTAGTGCAGCACATCCAGGATGGCACATCAATGTGAGCTGTGGCAAGAAGGTTTACTGTGTCCGTCAGCGTAGTGTCCAGAGCATGGAGGCGCTACCAGGAGATAGGCCAGTACATCAGGAGACATGGAGGAGGCCGTAGGAGGGCAACAACCCAGCATCAGGACCGCTACCTCCACCTTTGTGCAAGGAGGGACAGGAGGAGCACTGCCAGAGCCCTGCAAAATGACCTCCAGCGGGCCACAAATGTGCATGTGGCTGCTCAAACAGTCAGAAACAGACTCCATGAGGGTGGTATGAGGGCCCGACGTCCACAGGTGGGGGTTGTGCTCACAGCCCAACACCGTGCAGGAAGTTTGGCATTTGCCAGAGAACACCAAGATTGGCAAATTCGCCACTGGCGCCCTGTGCTCTTCACAGATGAAAGCAGGTTCACACTGAGCACATGTGACAGACGTGACAGGGTCTGGAGATGCCATGGAGAACGTTCTACTGCCTGCAACATCCTCCAGCATGACCGGTTTGGCAGTGGTTCAGTAATGGTGTGGGGTGGCATTTCTTTAGGGGGCCACACAGCCCTCCATGTTCTCGCCAGAGGTAGCATGACTGCCATTAGGTACCGAGATGAGATCCTCAGACCCCTTGTGAGACCAAATGCTGGTGCGGTTGGCCCTGAGTTGCTCCTAATGCAAGACAATGCTAGACCTTATGTGGCTGGAGTGTGTCAGCAGTTCCTGCAAGATAAAGGCATTGATGCTATGGACTGGCCCGCCCGTTCCCCAGACCTGAATCCAATTGAGCACATCTGGGACATCATGTCTTGCTCCATCCACCAATGCCACGTTGCACCACAGACTGTCCAGGAGTTGGGGGATGCTTTAGTCCAGGTGTGGGAGGAGATCCCTCAGGAGACCATCCGCCACCTCATCAGGAGCATGCCCAGGCATTGTAGGGAGGTCATACAGGCACGTGGAGGCCACACACACTACTGAGCCTCATTTTGACTTGTTTTAAGGACATTACATCAAAGTTGGATCAGCCTGTAGTGTTTTTTTCCACTTTAATTTTGAGTGTAACTCTAATGAGTGTAACCTCCATGGGTTGCTAAATTTGATTTCCATTGATAATTTTTGTGTGAGTTTGTTGTCAGCACATTCCACTGTGTAATGAACAAAGTATTTAATAAGAATATTCAATTCATTCAGATCTAGAATGTTTTATTTTTGTGTTCCCTTTATTTTTTTGAGCAGTGTACATTTTGCCATTCATCATAGACCATATATAAATCATGATCTTTCTCCCTGGATGTGTAACTTTCTATTTTCACTTCATTTTTCTTGTTGCATGCAATCATCTTAATCTTTGACTAATTTTCTAGTTGCATCATTTATTTATTTATTTTTATTTAGTTTAGTTTGTCAAGCATGTATGAGAAAACAAGTATAAGTATGAATATAACATATAAACATAAGTATAAACGAGTATAATTATATACATAATAAATGAGTATGAATAAATGGGAACAGTAGGACAGGGACAGTAGGCACACAAAGTCTTCAGATTTTCAGCCAATACATAAAAACATACAAAAAGTACATTCATATTTCTAACCAATATACAGGTGAAACTCAAAAAATTAGAATATCGTGCCAAAGTTCATTTATTTCAGTAATGCAACTTAAAAGGTGAACCTATTATATGAGATAGACTCATTACATGCAAAGCAAGATAGTTTAAGCTGTGATGTGTCATAATTGAGATGATTATGACTTACAGCTCATGAAAACCCCAAATCCACAATCTCAGAAAATTAGAATATTACATGTAATCAATAAAACAAGGATTGCACATAGAACAATATCGGACCTCTGAAAAGTATAAGCATGCATATGAACTCAGTACTTGGTTTGGGCCCCTTTTGCAGCAATTACTGCCTCAATGCGGCATGGCATGGAACCTATCAGCCTGTGGCACTGCTCAGGTGTTATGGAAGACCAGCATGTTTTAATAGCAGCCTTCAGCTCTTCTGCATTGTTCGGTCTCATGTCTCTCATCTTTCTCTTGGCAATGCCCCATAGATTCTCTCAGGCGAGTTTGCTGGCCAATCAAGCACAGTAATCCCACGGTCATTGAACCAGGTTTTGGTGCTTTTGGCAGTGTGGGCAGGTGCCAAGTCCTGCTGGAAAATGAAGTCAGCATCCCCATAAAGCTCTTCTGCAGAAGGAAGCATGAAGTGCTCCAAAATCTCCTAGTAGACGGCTGCGTTGACCCTGGACTTAATGAAGCACAGTGGACCAATACCAGCAGATGACATGGCTCCCCAAATCAACACAGACTGTGGAAACTTCACACTGGATTTCAAGCATCTTGCAGTGTATGCCTCTCCATTCTTCCTCCAGACTCTGGGTTCTTGGTTTCCAAATGAGATGCAAAAGTTGCTCTCATCAGAAAAGAGTACCTTGGACCACTGAGCAACAGACCAGTTCTGTTTTTCTTAGCCCAGGTAAGAAGCTTCTGACGTTTGTTGTTCAGGAGCGGCTTAACAAGAGGAATATGACATTTGAAGCCCATGTCCAGGATCCGTCTGTGTGTGGTGGCTCTTGATGCACTGACTCCAGCCTCAGTCCACTCCTTGTGAAAGTCCCCAACACTTTTGAATGGCCTTTTCCTGACAATCCTCTCCAGGCTGCGGTCATCCCTGTTGCTTGTGCATCTTTTTCTTCCACACTTTTCCCTTCCATATAATGTTCTACTAACGTGCTAATACAGCACTTTGGGAACATCCAACTTTGCAATTACCTTTTGAGGATTTCCCTCCTTATGGAGGATGATAGTTTTCTGCACAACTGTCAGGTCAGCAGTTATCCCATGATTGTGCTTCCTACTGAACCAGGCTGAGAGACCATTTAAAGGCTCAGGAACCCTTTGCAGGTGTTATGGCTTCATTAGCTGATTAGAGTGGGACACTTTGAGCCTAGAATATTGAACCTTTTCACAATATTCTAATTTTCTGAGATTGTGGATTTGGGATTTTCATGAGCTGTAAGCCATAATCATCTCAATTATGACACATCATGGCTTGAACTATCTTGCTTTGCATGTAATAAGTCTATGTCATATATTAGGTTCACCTTTTAAGTTGCATTACTGAAATAAATGAACTTTTGCACGATATTCTAATTTTCCGAGTTTCACCTGTAGTTCTAATGTTAGTATAACTACCCCAAATATGTTTATTCATAAATTCCTTGACCCATGATTTCAACCGAAACAAAACTTTCTATTGCTAAGAAGACAGTTATTAAATAAAATTTTGCCTGGTTTTACAACTTTTTTTTTGCCAACTTCATTTGTTAATTAGTAACATGGTTGTTAAATAAATCTTGCTTCCCCATTGACCTTGGCTGTCAGAAAGTTGCAAAAGATGATTACGTGAGCGGTGTGTGTGTGTGCATGTGCATCTGTCCCTCATACAAAGTCACCCACTCTTACCCCCATGTTGGGCCATCAACTGGAAATGTTAGAGAACTTATTTATACTACATGCGATCTTCTTCACTAATAATAAGAATAGTACCAGGCAATTTGGGCACATTTTGTCCAATATGCCACAAGTACAATCAAAGACTAATTTTACTCCAAGCATTTTCATGGTATTCCATGCAAGCTAGCATTCTGTAATTTAGAAAACACCTTGCCTGTATTCCACCAATTAAGAAGTATGTCCAATATACTGATATGTGCTCAGGTTGCAGGTCAAATTAAAACATCTTAATATGTAAAACAAGCCACATTAAACAAAGGAGAAATATACTTCTAGCAATCAGATATTGTAAACAATTGGCACAATATATAATTATTTTGGGGGGAAATTATTTCTTTGCCTTTCATTTTACAAAAGAGAAATAGTCTTTCAATAATAACTAAACATATTTTCTTATGGAAAGTTCCATATATTTAGCATTCAGTTAAACAGAGAAAACCAGAGATCTTTAATTTTTCCGCATGTCTTTAAACAGAAAAAATTCTGTGGGCCGGAAGATACAGATGTAGCTATAGATATTCCTTATGGAGTAGAAAAGTTTAAACTGCATGCCAGAAGATAATGGATTAAATGAAGTGTGTCAAACTCATGTCATCACGGCGGCATCACGTAACATATCAGGACTTCCCCCCCCTTCGCTAAATCGGGCGTGGGAGTGACCAGCGTGTGACACATCCAGCCAGTGGGCTGGGAGTTTGACAGACCTAGGTTAAAACATAACCTCTTTAAAAATTATGAAGAATGTAAAAATCTTTGATCTGCTACATTGAAAGCCCCTGAAGTATATTAAAAACTGAGGTTGCTATAAAATCTAGTGTTTTGACACTAAAAATAAATAGCTATATTTTTTTCTTTGAAAAAAAGTCAGTTTATCTCCTTATGCCACATATTCTTCTGCTTCTACACAATATCTAAGGAGATCAAATAGATTTTTAGGAATAATATTTTTTCTCCCAACTATTTTTAAATAACTATTATTGGTTCTCTCTTCTTATTACTAATAGTTTTACATCTGAGTCTGAGTACACAGAGATTACCAAGGTCTCCTGTGACACTTTGCAGCCAACTTTCTTCTAAGATACAATTCTGGTATGATGCAATATGGTTGCATCAACTTGTATTGCAATGAATCCTGTTTTGCTTTTAAAAAGAATGTACAGCATTTTCATTGTAACTTTTTAAAAATACATGTGAGTTGTTAGATTTATATGTTTGCCATTTCTGGGCAGAACATCAGCCTACATAAATTAAAGTAATGAATAAATAAATATAACTAGTAACAGTCGTGATAACGACTGTTACTATTTTAGTATTTTCCCTTGCAAACTAAATCATGTTCTTTGCTAGTAAATCATATGCAAGCCTGTTACATTTTTAATGTAATGGAACACAATTTGTGCTAAGTTATTCTGTTAAGATGTTTTATTTTCTTGAAAGCATACTATAATTACGTTATATACACTTTTTGGAGCAAAGTATTATTATAATAAAAACCTGTTTCCTGCTACTTACATTATAGCTATTTTACTTATTAACTTAAATATTCCAGAGTAGCTTTCAAATATCAGAAAGGAGATTTTGTTTGCCTCCTAGCTTTCAAATTAAAAAGATGACACTCTTAGAAAAAGTTGAGGAAGAAGTGAAAAATAGGTATAACTATCACTTCTTAAAGCAACTTTGGTGCGAAGGCAGTTAGTGAATGTGCCAGCAGTTTATCTTTCAGAATTTATATAGACTTTTCTGTAGAAAGAAATGGGTAATCGCCTTTTGTGTTGGAGATTGGTTTAGGAGGACATGTTAAATTTTATGATAGTGTTCAGTTCTTTTGAACTCATTGCGGTCTTCTCTAAACACTTGGTATTAATTTTTTATATTATAAACCATGCGGATGATGAAATTATATTATTTTTAATATCTCTTCATTCTTTTTCGTTCTTTTCTGTGTAAGAAGTATCCTAAAATAAGGCTGGGGTTTATATTTATTTTTGGGAGAAATGTGATAAATCAATTATTGGTCTGTTTTTATTGTATGTTTTATCAGTTACAAATGACCTTAAATTCTTTGATAGAGCCAAATACAATTTGTTAGAAAAAATACTTTAACTTTATGCCTACCCAAATCTGGGCTTCAAAAATCCCAATTACTAGAGGAAAGCAAAGAGATATAGAAATGTTTATTCTTTGTGCTACTTGAATTTCTGCAGCTCATATATATTTTCTATATGTACCTCTGTTATATAAAGCAGAGATATATAATTAAACTTCAGTGTGTTTCTAACAGTGTAGATAATCAGGTTCCTGGGCAAGGAATATCAACTGGATTTCCAGTATATCCTACTTTCAGCCCTCTACAGATGTTATGGTGGCAACAGATGTATGCACGTCAATATTATATGCAATAGTAAGTATAAGTAGAACATGATTTTAATTAGTATCAGATGGAAGATTGGTAATTAAAACAAAGACTAGATTGATTTTTTGTAGATTAGTTTTATCAAAACAATTCTGAAATAAAAATACAGATTTGTTAAAACATTTACTAGAATTACTGAGTTATAAAACTTAAAACTTTATTATTTAAGAGTAGTTTTATTTTTGTTTTGGTGGCTGATTTAGAGATATGCTTTATTATTCAGAAAAATTATTACAAAGTGAAAATTTCCATCCCTTAGACCAGGTCTGTCAAACTAGCAATCCATAGATGCATCATGTGCTGGCCACGCTCACACCAGGTTTATTGAAGGGGAAAAAAGTCATTGTATGTCACGTGATGACGCTATGATGATGCAAGTTTGACATACCTGCCTTAGACTGTATTTTGCAGATTGTTAAGACACAATCCTATATTTCCAGGGTTTTTTTTATAATGTAAAAGTTTATCTTAGCTGCAAATTTGTGCCAGAGGGGAAATCATTTTATTATACATGTTTGAAATTTATCATATATGATTAATCTTATTCATGATAATTCAATGAGATTGGAGAAAAAATAAGCATAATTTTTATTGGTGAAGCATATAGTACTAATTATTAATAATTCCATACTTCTAAGGAATTTTTTTCTGCAATCATTGCCTCTTCACTATACCTCTTGCCACATAAAGAACATTTTCCCTCAAATGTATTTCTAAGAGATGATGAACAACTATAGAATAGAAATCAGACCACAGATTTTCATTTACAGTGGACAATATCTATAAAAGCAAGGTTATTTATTGAAGGCACAGAGACCCAGAAGATTAGGTACTTTGCAAATCTTTTACAAACCCACTTGAAGGGCATTTTCACATATATATGTATAAAAGGTGGGAAAAAAAACAATGAGGAAGGTTTAAAAAACACACTAAAGATGGTAATTTGTTCAGCAGCCATTCAAAATTACAAGGATGCTAAATAAATGGTGTCTATGACCAATCCTCAGTGTTTCACCCATCCCAGCACCCTCATGGTCACATAATTGCTATCTGGGGATTTGGCAATAGGCTTGCCCTTATGACTGGTTTCTGCCCCCTGCAATCATGTGATTGCTATTTGCTACCTTTCCTACCAGCTTTCCCATAAAGTCAATGGAAAGCTGGCAGGGAAGATTGCAAGTCAGTGTGTACACTCTCTCCCTCTATGCTCATGCCACACCATCTCCTCATGCACCCTCACCAAGTTTTACCATGTCTCCGTCACACTTGCAGTCTCCCTCTCTCTCCTTCCCTCCCTCTCTCCCTCTCTCTCTCTCAGCCTTGCTTTACACCTTCATGTTCCTTCTCTGACCATTACTATCTTTCCTTCATGAGCCATATACTCTCCCCAATTCTTGATGTCTCTCTCCTGGTATTCACCACCATCCAAAATTATTACTGCAACTCCCTCATATCCTCATACCCCTCTGCGCCCTCCTGAATCTCATCATACCTCACTCACATCCTTATATACCCTCTCTGATCCTGTCTACACCTCCCTCACACCCTCCCTGATCTTTGCTGCACCCTGATCCAAATATATTTTCATTACTTAATGGTGGAAATTCTGGTCCCGAATGAGAATTGTACAATTGAGGACTTTTATCTGTTCATAATTTCAGTATTTCAGGCTGATTCTTATTTTTAAAATGCCTATTTAGGTTACCAGCGCGAGATAATTTTTTTTCCCCTTCCTTAGTTCATTCAGAGGAGAGGGGTACCCTTCTCAGAGCAGCTGATTTAAATGCCATGATGAGATTCTTTTGCTGCATATTATAGGTAGCTAACTAATATGCCTTATTTTTGAGAAGCTCTTCATTATTTCTGTTATAGTCAAGCTGCAGTTTCAGCACAGGCAACCCTGAATCCTGAGTCTACCAGTTCTTCAGTTCCGGAGTCCTCAAGTTCTGATCATGTTCTTGCAAATGAAGTCCCAGCAGCTCCAAACATAGCTCCACAGGAGAACAGACCTATAAATCAAAATGTGCAGATGAATGCTCAAGGAGGCCCAGTCATAAATGAAGAGGACTTCAATAGAGATTGGCTGGACTGGATATACACATTCTCCAGAGCAGCTATTCTTCTTAGTATTGTATATTTCTATTCATCCTTCAGTCGCTTTGTTATGGTGATGGGAGCTATGTTATTAGTTTACCTGTAAGTAAATATGCTATTTTGTGAATTTAAATTTGAGAAACTGGAAAAGTTTGTATATATTTTGTTGTAAAACAAATGCATGGATTAGTCTGCAGGTTTTTTTTAAAGTTTTCTATTACACAATTAAGCAACTTACTATTTTATGAAGATGGTGTAAATGCTACAGTTATTTTTTTACATGGTCTAACTATTTGGAGAACTTACCAGTATAAGCACCTTCACCTGCATTTAAAACACCCTTAAAATTACTTTAGGAAAATCAGTGCATCTCAATGCACCTTCTCTTCCTGAATAATTTTATATTTAAGAAGATAGCTGTCCTGTTAGCAAGATATACATTTTTTCCTCATACAATTATCCAGAAAAGATGGTATACTTTTGCTATTGTATCTGGGTCATTTCAGCTTGTGATTATTCTACATAATATTGGAATATCTATCAGAAATGGATCATGAACAGAATAAAAACTATTATAACCATCATTATATAAACTAATTCTTCCAGTAATACTTACTTACTACTGGAAAGACAAACCATGAGAATGAGGGATGAATAGTTTGCCTAAGTTTATCCATTGAGTTCATAACTCAGTGGAGCTATGTATTGGAAAATCCGAATTCAGAAGGATAGCCTTGATCTTAATCCCAAAGTGTACATAATTGTCAAGCATTCAGTTACTTATATAATTTTGTTTTAAGGTTTATTTCTATTTAATATCTTAAATGCTTATTTTAAAATATATAAATTTTATCTGATGGAATATACATTTGTAGGAGCAATGGGAGAGAGTTTTGGCAACACAGGTTTTTTTCAAAGAGAGGCCTGGATTAAGAGGCTGTGCAGTCCCAAACTGGATGGGTGGTGGTGGTGGTGGATAGCCACAGCCTAGAATCTCTGAAGATACTCCTAATAATTAGACAGTTACAGCTTTAATTTGGCAAGACTCTGTCCTTTAGGTGAGCTATTAAAGGATTGAATTCAATTGGATTTTGTTCTGTCACTGAATTCTGATGATTCAGTGTATTTTTACATATTTATATGTTACTGGACAAACTCTTAACCCATTAGATTATCATTTCAGAGATATTTCCTTACCTAAACAGAGAATCAGAGTGACTACCAGTGGTCAAAAATCAGTTTCAGAGCAACATCTTCCTGTTGGCTTTCCCATTGAATTTTCTTGTGGGAAACTGGCAGTAAGTGTTGGACATCTTTCAACTTTCTTCTCCTCTCCTCTCCCTTGTCCTGCCCTCCCCTCCTCTCCCTTTCCTTCCTCCTCCCCCTCCCCTCCCCTCTTTATAGTGGTTTTATACAAATTTTATTATATTTAGATTCACTGAAATCTATTGAACTTTTTAGTTTACAGTAAAATTTAATCAATTGTTCAGTAAATATAAATATTTTTCATTTCTGAAAGCTGATCAATAAGTAACACTCATAATATTTACAGTGAATTTTTATGTGCTCTTCTAAATTAAAACAGAATATGTTAGTGCTTTTATATGTTTGTTTTATATGTTACATGTACTAAAAATATATATAATTGAATGATTTCAACTTTACATCATGAAATTACATCCAATACATTTAATCATATTCAAAAATTTGTGTGTATCTGGCTGAGTAATTCTACAAGTTGTACTCCTACGACATCCGGAAAGCACAATGATGGGAAAGAATAAGTTAGATGATATTACTTTTAACTGTTATCATTTGTTGCTTTGTATTATTTACTGACCTATATGTTTTATTTCATCTTAGTAATTTTGTCAATGTCTTTTATAAAGGCACCAAGCTGGGTGGTTCCCTTTCAGACAAGAAGGAATCCAACAGCCTATAGCAAACAATGCAGATATAAACCATGATGGTCAAAATGTAAATAATGCTGGTCTTGAAGAAATGGTAAGGAGATGAATTGAGCAACACCACTAATTTTAAATTTAAGAATTACTGTTCAACTCTAAATTTAAGAAATAAAAATAGGATTATTTCATGCATGCTTAATAGGGAATAAGTTAATTAAAATCAGAGCTGAATAAATTTATATTACATTGCAATTTCTGATTATGATTTATAAGCATAGTGTTAATTTGTTTATAATTTATCAAATTGGCAAAGATGAATACATTGTATTTTGGTATCTAGATAGGAAGAAGGACACATGTTTCCAAGAAACTGTAGTTTATAGTAGTTCTATTAATACAAATTACATTAAAATAATTAACACACTTATTTTTATATATATATATATATATAAAGGAACGTCTCATGGATGAAGGTATTGAAGAAGATAGTGGCGAAGACATTGGTGATGTCAATGCAGAACAGCATCCTGGATTTATGGCTTCCGCATGGTCTTTCATTACCACTTTCTTTACATCCCTCATTCCTGAAGGACCTCCACAAGTTGGCAATTAAGCAAAGGAGGAACTACTAATAGAGCATGGAAGTTGATTCTGGGAGAGTGGTATTTTAAATATAATGCAATTGCTATACATATACATATATACATACATATATATACATATATACATATGTATGATATTCAGCTTTGTTCGGGTATTTTCCCACGTCATTCCCGAACAAAGCTGAATATCATACATGTAAGTACCCGCGAAAACTTAAGAAAACATATATACGTATACATACATACATACACACACACACACACACACACACACACACACACACACACATATGGTATTCAGCTTTGTTCGGGTATTTTCCCACGTCATTATAGTTGTGCTTTTAAAGTTGTAGCAACGTTTCGGCAGAATTTCATCTGCCATCATCAGGCTTCTGTATTGTGTTCGTCTGTGAGTCAGACTTTCAGAAGCCTGATGATGGCAGATGAGATTCTGCCGAAAGGTTGCTACAACTTTAAAAGCACAACTATAATGATGTGGGAAAATACCCGAAAAAGCTGAATACCATACATGTAAGTACCCGCGAAAACTTAAGAATACACACACACACACACACATAAATTCTCTTTCATTCTCCCTCCCTCCCTCTCTCTCTCTCTATACACACATACACACACACATATATGTAAATTGTATACATACATATACACACATGATAAATATTCTGTTTGTGCTGTACAAAAATGTGTTTTCGGTTTTTTTCATGCTAATGAATATTTTAAGCAAAAATGGACTAGTAAATTCTTTAGAAATATTTTTCTGTAAAGAAGAAAAATGTAAAAATTGGTTTTTCATGTTTTTGTTTTAATTGTATTGACTGAGGATAGAAACCTGTAACGGATGTGAAATGCCTTTTTTTCAAAGAGTTATCAAATTACCAATCTTACCAATAATAGTAGAAATAAGCTCCTTTAGAGTAAAAAAAAACTTGTGTTGGAATCTTTGTCGATTCTTTTTTTTAAAATTGTGTATCAAAAATGTAAATTGGGCTTACAGTTACTACTAATACAGCATGGAATTGACTCTGGGGGAGTGGTATTATATATAACATGCCAGTGGCATGTTGTCTAGGTTTTCTCACTCACCTTATGATACTAATAATAATGCAGCATTTTGAAGATAATAGATAATAACTAGTGCATTACAAACATTTAATTGATAAGAAAACTATTTTAAAAATAGTTCCAGGACACACAGATTAATGTTAATAGTTTTTAAATTAAGTTGTGGTATTGAGGAAACTCTTCAAGTCTTCAGTATTAATTTGCATGGGAAGGCTCAATATTTCTGATACAAATAATAGAGAATGTTATTAACTATATTATTACAAATCATAAAGAATATTAACTATATTATTTACAACAGCATAATCTAAATTACTGTCTTCGTGTATTGTGATATTTGGGAGTGGGGCCGACATAACAGATCCAGAGGCTACATATATTAAAATGAAAAGTATCAATAAAGGAGAAAATTTGTAGCTCAGGATTAAAATGAGGAGACGTCGATGCACTCTGAGCTTGGTTGTTTTTAAATCAGACTAGAATTAATGATATTACCTAGTTTAGGTAATGAAACATTTGCAAGAAAACGACCAAGCCCAGAGAGCACCAAGGACACCTCAAATGAATAATAATGAATAATCCTAGGTGCAACATAAATTTATTTTAAAATCAATGCGTATAATAACTTAGAAATACAAATAAATAATGTATTATGGCAAATCCCATGAACTTTCAATGGTTAGTCTATACAAAAAAGTAATTCATTATAAAGTTTCCCAATTGAATGATTATGATATGCCATCAATTAATCAGTTCTTAGCAACTACAAACGTATGCAAACATGTTTGAAGTAGGACAATTGAAACCTGGTGGATTACATTTTAAGTGAAATTCATTTAGGTTTTGTTTTTTTAAAATGCTAATATTCCTTAAAATGCTAATTCTAGAAGGCATTTTAATCCATTAGGCTATAGCTACAAATATCAAGACTGTCATTAAGTTGGCCCTGGCACTGCAGATCTATTAGATTCTTGAATTTTTAAAAAAAATTTAACTGCCTGCTGAAGATGAATTTGAGCGCCTACTAATTTTGATGGCAAGAGGCAATTCAATTCTTTCCTGGCATACATTTTGGGTATCTGTGAAAAAAGTAGTTAATGGCCATAATGATCTTTGTTTTGACATTGCACAGAAACTTTGCAGAAGCTTTGGTTCTTCCTTCCCATAGAGACTGTGACTGTGTTATTGATTTGGAACCAGGGATTAAACTTCCAACTAAGAGGCAATATACAATATCAGGAAAGGAACTGATGATCTTAAAGCAATATCTGAGTTCCAATTTGGAAAAAGGATTTATTAGACTTCCAAAGTCACCAGCTACAGCACTACCTTTTTTGTTCCTAAGAAACAAGAGGTGGATTTTCTGAACCTAAAAAGTGAGGTCCCCTTGTGCACAGTCCACAGTTACAAAGACAATAACAAGGTCACAATGAGGGATCATTACCTACTACCTACCATATAAAATATGGTGGGCAGATTGCAAAATGTGAGTATATTAAGTTGGACCTCAGAAAATATGCAAATATGCAAATTCCTTGACCTTTCATTTGCAGTTGCCCCCATCCATGAAGATCCATCCAGTTTTCCATTGCAGGTCAGAGAGGCTCCACCAAGACTTCTACAATTGCAACAGCCATTGCCCCCTCAAATGATTGTTCAAGGTGAAGATGAATTCAAAGTCGAAGAAATATTGGACTGGAGGAAATGGGGTAAAGACATACATTTGATTCTACAGAAAAAAACTGATTTGAGTTGGAAGAATCATTTGTATTTTGATTGAGGGATTGCAGTGGGAATATTCTAATAAATATAGGCCACTGTGAGATAGATGTTGCAAGGCTACATTCTTTTTTGTCTAAAACTGTTGCATTTATGTCAACACTGATTTTCCCCACAATTGGAAAGAGTAAAGGAATTGGGAGAGAATTTCAGAAATCACAGTGAGGTTACACTAGATTCTGACAGAACATTATTAACATTTTTAAGACTATAGAAAAATAAGCTCCATTGATTATCAACATGATTTTGCACACCATCAAAGCTGACACGACCCAGAGCATAGAAAAACTCAAAGAATTAGTGGAAAATCAGAAGATGTGAAGAGACCTGACCTGAAGAATTGCCAAGAGTCAAAACACGACTGAACAGAAAACATCATCATGATTTTGCAAATATAAATGCGTCTTTATTTTTCAGAATGAAACAAAACATGAGGAAAATGTTGGGAAAATATCTACAATGAATGCTACCTACTAATGTGTGGGGCTCTATAAAAGAAATCACTTGAAACTTTATTTATTTATACACTGCCTTTATTATTTCAATCTAATACACTTCCTATTTTCTCAAAAATGTTCATTATTCCTCCTCCTCCACCCTCCCCTTCTCCTCCCTCCTCCTGCCCCATATTTATTATGATAGAGTAATGGGAAGCAAATATTGAATTTATTTGAATTCTGGACTAACAATATCTTTGAGGGTGCTTATTTGAATAGTAGTGGAAATGGAAAGTACCAGTCCTGTCACAAGCAATGTGGCTTTCACTTTTTGTGACCAATCTTTAATTTCTTAATATATTTATATTGTCTTCATTTCCCACTAGATGGTGCAATAATCACATGGACTGCAAAACTACACAAGAACTTTATTTGGAAGATTCTTTTTGTGGATATTTCGTATTAAAATAGAGGAAATTTCCATGGAATTATTGAGGCATTAAGAAAGATGTGTTGCTCAGTATCTACATTTCCATCTTAGATTTTAAATTGCTAGTTTTTTGTCTCATTTTCTGTGCTTTAAACAAGTCAGTAGAAATAGATTAAATATGCTTTTGCTTGTTAAATGAGAAAATTATTAAATATTGGGAAATGGGGCTTTGTTTCGTTTTCTTATGTTTTGTTAATAATGTGAATGTGTATCTGAAAACAATTCTCCTTCTTTCATTCATCGTGCAAAGATCTATGAGTTAGTCCTGTCCAATATGGGTTGAATCATCAATGAAATATTTTTGTGTAGCTGTTTAGTTTCTTCAAATTCCTGAAATCATAGACGCTTTCTATAATTAATACTCTAACATTTATATCAATTGATTGCTGTATATTGATCATAACTGGTATCTGAAATCAGTGTAATATTTTTTTTAAAAATGTATGAAAAATTAGTGGAAAAATATACAGGAGGCTGTAACATGGCATGATTGAAAGCAAAATCTGCAAATAACCATTGTAGAAAAATGTGGTTGTATAGAGATAAAACACAGAAGTGATATGAAGGCTTCAAGTAGCCTGGATAGAGATTTTAAAAACCACTGCGATCTCCAGCAGAATGACAGATAACTATTTTGTTGCTTTGTTTTAGCTTAACACAAAGACTAAATGATAAAATACTTGTAATATAACTTGTAATGAATTCCAAAGAGACTGATGCCAGCAAAGGTTGTTGAGGTCACAGATATCCAGATGTTTGAAGATCTTTGCTTCTATATGACTAATTCTATGTGATAATCAATGAGGGATATTATTAACTTTTTTAATGAAATTGGATTGTACCAAATATAAGTTTTGATTTCATGCTTAGGTTGTTCAATGATATTTTATCATTCCTGCCTATTTGAGGACAATCTTAAATAAAACTGTCTCCCTCCACATTTTTTTTAGCAGTGTACCTTTCTATCCCCAAATATTGGTGTTCTTTCTAGAGATAAAGGATTTATATATCCCTTTTCATTCAGTGAAGTGAGAATGTGAACAGTATGAAAGTAAAACATGTTACTATTACAGTATAGTGTTGCAGCTTTGAAAAATAAATGCAAAAGAGTACTTTGCTCTGAATACTACAGTGGAACTTTGGGTCACGAACGCTTCTGTTTGCAACCAAATCGGATGGTGAACAAAAAATTCACCGGGTTTTTTAATTGGGCCATGATTCAAAAACCGAATGATGAACAAAATTGGCATAGAAAGATTCCCTTTCCGCACCAATTTTCCCATCAGCACCATTTGGTGGGGCTGACCATGCATATGCAGATGGTTGTGCTTTCGGTCACGACCAAATCAGGTTGCGGCTGAAATCCTGGAACAGATTACGGTCATGACCCAAGGCTCCACTGTATATGTGTTTGGTGTTCTGTAAAGAAGGGTATCAAAAGTTCATCTGATCTTTAGAAGCATCAGTGCAAAGAAATCTGTGGGTGCTAATCTGACTCCAAACCATATTTGGTCACTTTAATTGTAATATAGGCAAAGCGAGGGCTGATTTTCCATTGCAAGCATTCTGTTTGCATTTTCCACTATTTTAAATAGTTCAGTCTTCTATTAGGAAAAATAAATGGATACTTCAGCTTTTACTTCTCTCTAGTTTTAGTTATTTTAATAAGTTCTGAAGTGTTAAAATAAATGCTCATTAGAAAATCTAACTTGCTGGAATATTTATTGCAATTTGTGTTTTGAATAGTGTTCAATAATACTCCAACATTGAATTTTTCTTTATTGAATGGTTTATATGAAAACATATTGAACAAAATGTTCAATATGCCTTCATGATGACAAGAGGGGACATCATTATCATTTTATTGCATCCAAAGTGCGGTAATGATCAACATTCTCTTATTTTGCATTTTTCTTTTGATTTTTTTTTAGTGTTCATACATTGTTACTGAAGAAATTAAAAATTTCAATTTTATTTCAATTTTGCAAAAAAACAACAACAAAAAAGCAAATATGTATGTTTTTTTTTTTTTTTGAGAACACAAGATCTCTCAGCAATTTCCAGGAGTGTTAGTCTTTATTTAGAAGGAATCAATCATTCTCCTGATATTTGGTTTACAAGCATTTGGTTATTTAAAGTTATATTCCCAAATCAGAATTATATTGTCTCTGGGATATTTGCAATAAATGATATCATATATATGGTGGTATTATTTTTCTTTAAATAATGATGGTATATGTTCATGTTTATACTGATTGGCGGTTGTGGAACCTTTTAAAAAGTGCAGCTAATTTTGGCAGGGGAGGACTGCCTTTTAATTAAACATCTATTTCTATAAACATCCAAGGTAGGCTGTGCAAATGACTTAGGGCAATTGAGAAATGATGAAAATCTGATGAAAAGGATGGACATGCTTTTCAGTATATTGACTTGGTGTAGCGCTTTCCAATATAGGAAAATGTACATTATTCCTAAAATCCCTTTCATTCTAGATGTAAATTTGATCAAAAGAGTCATGCAAATTGAAATAAATGATGAATAGATTGGGAATAATTAAAATTAAATTACTGTAATATTGGTGGTGGATAATTTTCTAATTTAATAGTAGATGTTTATGAATTTATTCTGTTGAAATAGGAAGTGTTTGGGTCATATCTGAAAGTTTACATAGCCCAAAAGTTCTAACATGTCAGCTTTAAAACAGAATCTTTACTAGCACTTGTATCACTTAGGTTTTCTGATTCATTCATTTGAAGCAGTATTCAGAGACAACAAACATTGTAGATTTGACATGGAAAATTTCTCTATTTATCTTTCCTAACTTATGAAAGCTTACTGGAAAGAAGCAAGTAGTAATAAATATTCGCAAGGTAGTAATAAAGTAATAAAACCTTTTAATCAGGTAATAAAACCTAATTAGCTCTTTTGCATTTTATGAAACATGCAAGAGATTGTGGCTTTGTAACTATGTGGGCTGAGAATTCTGGGAACTGCAATCCCATCTACCTGAAGAGAGAGAGATACAAGACAATCTATTCAGGATTTCTTGACTTCTGTGCAAGATCACTGGAGACTGTCAGTGTATAAGAGTTCATGAATTGGAATAGACATGGTAACAGGTCAGTCAATGGGGACTGGTGACCCAGACAGCTTGGAGCCTGTGCGTGGCTTAGCTTGACTGATTTCTATGAGTTGCTTTGTCCTTGCAATATAGCCTCTGTAATATTTTGCTTCTGTGATTATAATTTCTGTATTCTGAGCTCTGGCTCCGGCTTCTGCTGCATGGGTATTGTATACATGCATCATACTTTATATTATTGTATGTAAAGAAGTTTCTTCTATAAATGAATCCTGCTTAATTATTTACTTCTGTGCTGGTTGGATTGCTACAAACTCTTAACAGGTTATGGGCTCAGAGCACACCAACAGTAAGACTGAACTGTAATTAAACTGAAGGACAGCCTGTATTAAAAAGAAAAGAAAACAAGGCTGAGAAGGCTTGCGGGATAGCTGTTGAGTTCAAGGAGAGCTCTCTGCCTCGATTGGGAAAGAATAATTATATCGTTTGGGCCGCAAAGTTTGAATGCTTCCTTCCTGAAGGCTAAGGAGTTCTGGGATATTGTTATTAATCCACCCCAGGCACCATTAGCAGCAGCAGATCAAAGGCAGCATGATAAAGCACTGGCCTGAATCATTTTAAGTTTGGAAGATGAACAAAGTAGCTGATTTAAAAACTGCAAAGGAGGTTTGGCTGAAATTGAGAAGTGTGCATGTGAGTGTGTCAGCATGCAATATTGTGCAATTATCGAGACAATTGTACAGAACCCAGCTGCAGCCACAAGCAGGTGTGGAGCAACATTTGCTGCACATGCAGACTTTATTGAATTGGAACAGTGTGGAATGCAGATTCCTGAATCTCAAAAGATGCTGTTGGTGTTAAATAGTCTTGATGAAATGTGGGACATTGTTTCAGCTGTTTTTGAGTGCGAATCAGAACAGGACTTATGAATGGAAACCCTTAAAGTCTATTTGATTTCTGAAGAAAACAAATGCCATTTTAGAAAATGCCATGAGGATAAATTCCTGAGGTGATGGCTCAAGGACCAGAGAAAGAAAAGCAACAGACTGGATGTTTGTAGAGACCAGAATAATAGAAGAGGTTGGATTACAGCCCAGCAAAGAACTTCTAAGAAGAAAGAAAAAGAATGGTGGTGTTTCAGCTGTGGTGATAAGAATCATTTGAAGAAAAACTGCAAGGAAGAAAAACAAAAGATGGACAAGGTGCTGTTGCAAAAGTTAGCTATTGCAGAGGTCTCCAAACTTGGCAACTTTAAGACTTGTGGACTTCAACTATCAGAATTCCTCAGTCAGCAAAGCTGGCTGAGGAATTCTGGGAGTTGAAGTCCACAAGCCTTAAAGTTGCCAAGTTTGGGGACCCCTGAGCTATTGTAATAACAGAGACAAATGGTTTATAGATAGTGGGGCAAGTCAAACAATTATTAATAATTCAAAATTGTTTTTCAGAATGGATCCATCTGGAGGAGATGCAATAGCTTTGGCAAATGGCCAGAAGGCTAAAGTCACGAAAAAGACAGTCTGCTGATTCCATGTCTGGATGAAAAATTTAGTAACATATTTTGTGTGCCTGAAATGGAGCATAATTTACTGAGTGTTTCTAGTCTAGACCAAAAAGGGTTTGAGACCATCTTTGTAAATGGGAGATGTCTCATAAAAAGGAATTGAATGTGCATAGGGCATAAAACAGGATAATCTTTATGTGTTGCAGGGACAAAAGGTTCAGTGTGCCCAAACATTTGGAAATGTGGCCCAACATGATTCATGCATTCATCTTTTGCATAGAAAGCTTGGCCAGGCCAGCTTCAGAGTTTTGCAAAGGATGCAACAGTTTGCAGAAGGTCTAAACTTAAAAGGAGGTAAGGCATACTTGGATTGTGCAGTATGTAAATCATCAAAGTCCAAGGTATTTCCAGAAAGCAAAAGTAGCACAAGGCAGACAATAAGAGCTCTAGAGCTGGTACATGCAGATTTGGTGGGGCCAATGCAAGCCAGTTTGGGAGGAGCAAAATATGCATTGGTCATTGTAGATGACTACAGCAGGTTTGGTTTCTGCTGTTTACTGAAGAGTAAAATAGAGGTGCTACAGAAATTTAAGCAATGGGTAAGCTTCATAGAAAGGAGATATAAACAACAGGTATGTCAGCTGCAAACAGGTTCAGAATTCATGTCAGAAAGCTTTCAACAGTGGGACAGTTAGTAATAAAACACCGATACACAAATCTGAACGTAGCAGCTGAAAAAGGTATAGCTGAGAAGCGGAATGGAGGACCACAAAGGACTCGCTGCTGGAGGATTCTGGTCTGGGCAGGTCATATAGGGATGAAGCCTTTTTAACTGCTAATTATTTAATCAATAGGCCTTGGAGTTCCTCTATTAATGGCATTCCATATGCAGTGTTATATGGGAGAAAGCCATCACTGGCACATTTAAGGGTGGTTGGAAGCAATGCATGGGTGCATATTCCAAAAGCAATCGGGAAAAGGTCAACCAAAGGTTTACGGGCTACGAGCCTGGTTCAAAGAGCTGTCACTTTAGCAATGGGAACAAAAGAATAATGATTTCAAGGTCTGCTAGCTTTGTACAGCAAAATTTGAACAGAATTGATGCCAATTTTTGGAATGATCCACTTGGTGATGGTGATCCACTTAGTGACAGTAACTCACTTAGTGATGGTGTCAGCACTCGGGGGGGACGACGACTGGAAAAGGAGTCAGGAGAAGATGACTCAGGTATGAAGCCAGGGATGCTTGAAACACAAGAGCAGTCAATGCCACACGGGTCAGAGCAATGGAACAAAGGGATTCCACCTGGCTGGTATTCTGCTTGTGAAGTAAAGGCGTGTAATGTGTGGTATGAGCCTAAAATTGAACAAGGGGAAAGAAGTCATGGACAAAGAAATGAAATCCATAGTGTTCACATCTATGACTTTGCCACAAGATTGCAAAGCCGTAGGATGTAAATGGGTATACAAAAAGAAAGTACTACCCAACAGTGAGGCATAATATAAGGCAAGATTAGTGATACAAGGATTTCACAGAGGAAAAATATGCACTATGACGAGATATTCGCACCAATGATGAAGAGTGAAAGCATAAGGTTGGCAGAAGGGTGGGATTCTACTGGTTCCCACTGGTTCTATAAAACCGGATGTTAAGATTCTGCCCAGTTTGGAGAATCAGCAAATCGTGCCCCTAGCTGGCCCAACTCCTTCCCCTCCTGGCCATTTGCCTCTGATGAGGCTAAAGATATGTTGCTGGAGCTGCTGGGCTTTAACCTGGAGCAAGAATCCTTTTCTCTCCTCCCCCCCCCCGCATCCCATTTGGAAGATCTTGAGTTAGTTTTGCTGTTGCTGACTACCTCCTCCATGCTTCCTAAATGAGGTAGATCGAGTGGGAAGTGGCTGGTGTGTGTGGGTGTGAAATTAAACCTCCTTCCTATAAAATCCATTCAGAAAACAAAGGAGCAGATATGTTTTAATTCTGCTTCAGCCTAGATTGTTGGAGAGAAAGTAGTTTAACATTATTTAATTGACTAATTCATTGGAAATTGCTGTGTTATGGCTTTTCATGGGATGTAGCTTATGATGGACTATAAACAGGTAATACTCAGCCTTAAAATTATGTTATTAGGTAGAAAGGCAGTTAGATTTCCTGGCCTTCCTAGGTATGATTTTCAGTAGTCAGTCTCTGCTGCTTTACACTACAAATATAATTAAACCAAATACCTATCTCTAAATTTAAGACAGCACTAACCCTAGAACATTTTAATGGACTAGGAACAGCTATCCTGGAAGAGATTTTTTGTGGGGGGTGGGACTTTACTCTTTAAAGCTGTGTCCTTGTGATGAAGCGGCAGTTTATATTATATTTTATAGATTAATCCACCAGTAGAAAATAGGTAACATCCATTTGAGGTCAATCCATGCATTTAGTGAGGAGGAGGAGGAGGCAATATTAAATCAGAGCCTTGGTACAAGGGACAATCCAGTAGAAGTGCCTTGATGATTCTGTCCAAGCAGAGACATGAGCATGGTAAGTATGGAATCTTATTAAATCAATTCATACAGAGATACAATGCTCAATATCTTTAAAGTTGGTAATTCTTTCATGCTACTGACTTGGGAGTAATCAAATGATCAGGTCTCATGCTGCCTGTGGAATCCTGGGATTGAAGTCCTCATGTCTTAAAGTTGCTAAACTTGAAAAACACTCAGAAGTACAACTTCTTGTGAGCCTAAGTTGTTTTCCTGCATTTTGGGAATAAGGAAATTATCCTATTGTGCCTGGTGCAAAGATGCAGCTGAAATCTAGTGAGACGCTAATTGGAAGGTTAAAGTTACAGATACAGATAGTCTTTGACTTACAACCGTTTGTTTAGCCTCCATTTAAAGTTACAACAGTACTGAAAAAAGTGATTTATATTCCTCCCCTCCCCTAAGGACAGAGAAAGAGACAGAGAGGGAGAGAGGGAGGAAAAGAGAGAGACGAGACAGAAAGGGGGGAAGGAAAAGGAGAGACAAAACACACGGAGGGAGGGAGGGAGGGAAAGAGACGAGGGAAAGAGAGACAGAGAGGGAGGGAAAGAGAGTCAAGACAGAGAGACAACACACAAAGACGGAGGGAGGGGGGAAAGAAGAGAGACAGACAAACAGAGGTGTGAGAGAGAGAGAAAGAAGAGGAGAAA